GAATAGATTAAGAATTTGCCTGGAAAATGCAAACTGAGCAATCAGCCAGTCCTGATTATTCAGATCCATTGGTTTGCCATCTTACTGAAGTTTTAACTTAATGCAAGGCATAAATTATAAATGTACCTATTAAATTAATATTATCTTAAGGCCTTTGTTAATAACTTAAGTTTTTAAATCATTAGTTAGACTTACTGTAGTTTTGTTGTGTAATAACTACTCTCCATCAATTTTCCTAGATTTCATTATAAATGCCAAATTGGGCAGAAAGAATATGGTATTGCTACCGGTTCTACTAAACAGGAGGCAAGACAACTTGCTGCTAAACTTGCACATGATGAAATAACAGCAGAAAAAACATCAAAGGTATGTAATACCTTTTCATTTAATTTTTATGTTGTTGAATTCTCTGGGCAGTTGATTTGAGGTTGTTGTTGTTGTTGTTATGTGCCGTCGAGTCAGCCCTGACTCATAGCGACCCCTCCGTGGGTTTCCGAGGCAGTATCACTACGGAAGTAGGATTGCCCAACCTTCCTTCCGAGGAATGGCTGATGGGTTTGAACCTCCAGCCTTCTGGTGAGCAGTCAAGTGCCTTAGCCACTATGCTACCAGAGCTGTGTTTATATGAGGCAAAGATAGCAAATCATGTAGTGAAATGATTCTTCCATTCTGTGTTCCACCAATGAGCCATAGACATGGACCTTCACAGGGAGGGAATAAAAGTTCTCCTACCAACCGAGTTGTTTCTTAAAACCTAGATCAAATGCCCACTAAAAAAAAAATCTGTTAATCTTATTATAGTTGTGAATTTGGTAAATTTGGGGAAATAAATGTAGCTGGTACAAGAGACTGAGCCACTGTAGAGAATTAATATAGTTCCTTTTAAATCTTCAGAATACTCACACAGAATCCTCTGGTTCTCACATTACTACGTCCAGTGACTCCAGTAGCATTTCTTCTGTGGCAAGCACATTGTAAGTGTGGACAAACATCTGTGCTATTAATATTAAACAAATTCAAGTTTCTGTCTGGAACCCTTTTTATGAGAATGTTTAATGTTTAAGGAGAATGTAGAGAAAGAAATGACTGATTAATGTACCAAAAATCGGCAGAATTCATAACGTAATAGTATCACCTTTTCTTGTAGCACTTCTGAATCTACATCTGAAAATGAATCGTCAGCAAGTACAGAACAAAAAAGTTCAGAACAAAAGCACAACAGTGACAGTTTAAAAGATTCCTTTTCATCTTCTATGGTATAGTATTTTTCTTTAAGGTTCCTAGTTAATCTTCCTTTGTGTTTTCCTCATTTAAAAATGATCCCCAATTCCCAACCATAATTTTTATATTTTTGTTCCATTCACTCATACTAAAAACTATATTTAGCAGTCTTTCGACCCTTTCTCCCTTCTTTACTGACCCCCTTTACTCACAATCAAAATTCTTCCATTATTTCCATCTGATCTTTCTCTCCCTACTCACGCTCATATTTTCATATATTCTATGATCCTGCTTTCTTTTCCCTCAACTGGACAATATTTAAAGATTCATTCATAACATCTTTGCTTCTTTGTTTTTAAAGAAATCATACCTAAATTTAAACTAACAACTAAATTTAAAAATCAGATAATTTTTGCGGTGACGATCAGTGTTACAGAAGTATTCTGTTTATACAGAACCAAAAATAAATAAGAAAAAGATAAGTAACTCACTAGAAAAATATACTAGGGATTTGAAGAGTTTAGAGAAGAGATACCTAAACAGTCAGCAAATATATGAAAAGGTGCTTTACTTCACTAGTAATCAGGAAAATGCAAATCAAAACAATGAGATAACATTTCAAACCCATCAGATTCAAACAATTTAAATCTTGTTTATAGAAAAAAGTTTGAAGGTTCCTCAAAAAGTTGAACATAGAATTACCCTATGACCCAGCAATTCTACTCCTAGACATATACCCAAAAGAATTGAAAGCATGGCCTCAAATAGATGCTTATACACTATTGTTCATTGCAGCATTATTCATATCAGTCCAAAGGTAGGAACAACCTCAATGTCCATCAACAGATGGATGGATAAACAAAATGTGATATATTCATGTAATGGAATATTATTCAGCCATAAAGAGAAATAAAGTTCTGATGCATGCTGCAGCATGGATCAACCTTGAAAATACAATGCTGAATGAAATAAGTCAGACACAAAAGTGACCAATATTGTATGACCCCATTTATATGGAATATTTAGAATAGGCAAATGCATGGAGACAAGTTTATTGGTGGTCACCAGGGGTCCAGAGGAGAGGATGTTGGGAAGTTATTGTTTATGGGAACTGAGTTTCTATTTGAGGTGATAAAAAAATTTGTAAGTAGGTGGTGGTGATGGTTACACAACATTCTGAATGTAATTGATATCACTGAATTGTATTCTTAAAAATGGCTAAAATGGCAAATTTTATGTTATACATATTTTACAACAATAAAATTTAAAAGTAATTTATGTTTTGAAATACCAAGTGTTGGCATAGCTGTGTTCCAGTGGTTGCATTTGTCCTTGCTGGTGGACGTACAAATTGGTACAACCATTTTGGAGTGTAATTTGGCAATATGTGGTAAAATTGAGTGTGTGCATGCCATATGGCCAAGAAATTCCATTCCCAGGCTATATCCTATAGAAATCTTTGCAGGTGTACACAGAGAAACATATAGTAGAATGTTCTTTGCAATACTATTGCAGATTTGTTCCTATTGTGATAGGAAAAATACAGCCCATTAACAGGAGACTATCTAAATTAATCATAGTATAGTTGTAATGCAATACTGAAGCTGGCAGATGGTATGAGCTCAGGACATGTTAGACTGATGTTCCCCTCTCCATACCAACATACCTAAATTGTTGAAAAACCACAGAGCCTACCAGAATACCAGGGAGAATAAGTGAAGAATAGCTAGGTGAAGTGAATCATCATCTTTTATAACTTTTGAGGGCTATCAATGAGAAACCCACCTTTTGTACTAAATACTAAAATTAAATGATTAATTTGTGCTAAAAAAATCAAAGTATCACCATGGCAGTTTTCAACTGGTGATCAGATGATAAACCCCCCATGAATTATTATAAACCAGATCTGTGTCTTTTTATTAGCATTGTGGATGACTGATACACACCATCTTATTGACAGCCACTGACCCAGTGGATCACCAGATACCCTCAAAGCCCATATTCTATCTGGAGAACTAATGCTTCAGCAGACATGTCCCACAATTCCTCTTTTTTGGTCCCACCTGCCATGTTTACTCAAGGAGTTTGATGGCACAGTGGTTAAGTGCTCTGCTGCTAACCAAAAAGTTGGTAATTTGACCCCACTAGCTACTCTGTAGGAGAAAGATGGTGGCCATATGCTTCTGTAAAGATTACAACCTTGGAAACCCTATAGGGCAGTTACACCCTGTCGTATAGGGTCACTATAAGCAGAGTTGACTTGATGGTAGTGGGTGGGCCATGTCTGCCTGCTTACTATAATGTTGTTATATGCCGTTGAGTTGGACTCGACTCATAGTGACCCTTCCTTGGGTTTCCGAGGCACTATCACTACGGAAGTAGATTGCCCAGCCTTCCTTCCAAGGAGTGACTTGTTTCTTTGAACCACCAGCTTTCTGGTTAGCAGTCAAGTGCCTTAGGGACTACACTACCAGAGCTCCTGCTTACTATAATAGATGAGAGTATTGCAAAGTAACCTGAGAAGCAGGACTTGATGACACTCTTCATCTTACGTACAAAGAAATATGGTCACAGAACTAGCTAGAAATAAAAGAGGAAGTAATGTTCTTGAGCAAGCTGATAATTAGTTTAATCATCTGGAACTAAAATTTACATTTTCTTTTGCTGTAGGATAGTCTTAGAAATAATCAATGGAAGGCAAAAAGGTGAGTACTATTATGCATTGAACATATTTTGAACTGACGTTTAATTTCATACTTTGTCAACCTTATTAAGTCTTCAGTGTTTGTAGAGTACTGTATGCTCTTATTTGATTGGAATTTCAGCATAAATAGAGAACATAAGGCCCATAAAAACCTTGAACTCCACAAACAAATAATATTAAATATGTGGAGAAATCTTTGAATACATGCATGCACTACATTACGTGCATAAAATGCTATGTAAGTATTGCTAGAGTAATTGGTCAAGAACATTACTTTTGGTTAAGATTCACAGAGGAAATGGGCTTGGAGAGCTATTTATAAGAGAAGTGCCTTATTTTGCAGACAAGTAGATAGAGCTGAAATGGTGCAATAACTGAGGTGAAAAAAAAGACTAAATATTATGTAAGTTACAGCTTTTTTTTTTTTTAGCTGAAGGGAAAAGCAAGGATGTAAATATAGTTAGTATGGGATGAAAGGAGGAGCCCTTCTAAGCCGTTAACATGTCTGAATAGTAGGTAGGCATATTGAAGAAAGATGGTTGCTAATGTGTATGTTTGGGTGGAGAGAAGAGAGGTCTATGTGTGAGAGGATCAGGCCCTTAGTCATGATCATGGCAGTGAGGAGGGATGAGAATTTGTGAGAAAGACTCTGAAGGAAGAGTAAACATGCTTTGAGGGAATAGAGTTGCAATATTTGGGTGAGAGGACGAAGAAGAGGTAAATGAGAAAAGATGTGAAGATTGCTTCCACTTTGAATGGGATGCAGAAAAGAATTCTGGCTCTCATGGTGTTAAGGAAGTTTATGACTGTGGCTACAGGGAAGATAACAATTTGGATATGTTTCATTTTAGGTAGTGGTTGAACTTGCACTTGCAAGTGGCTGGCCACCATTAAGAAATGAAGTGCAAAGGAACAATGACTAGAATGATGGTGGAAGAACCTGTACTTGCTCAGGTGTTGAGTCTGGAGGAAGAAAAAGTGGCACACTAACTGATGTGTTAAGGTGATAAAAGGAATCAGGAAAGGAATGGAAAATTATTGGAGAGCAGAGGAGAAGCACAAGTGTATAGTTTTGTAAAGAAAAGGGTTATTTAACAGTTGTTATCCTGTTACTCAGGTAGCTCTGAATAACACACAGTTTGTATTCGACTACCAACATAAAGATTAGTGGTTCAAACCCTCCCAGTGGCTTCACAGAAGAAAGACCTGATAATCTGCTTCCATAAAGATAATAGCAAAGAAAATCCTGTGGAGCAGTTCTACTCTGTAACTCATGGGGTTGCCGTGAGTTGACTTGACAGCAGTAGATTTGTTTATTTGTTGGTAACCTGTTGTAATGTCCCTGGCTGGTGCACACAGTTAATACACTCGGCTGCTAACCTGAAGGTTGGAGGTTTAAGTCTGTCCAGAAGCACCTTGAAACAAAGGCCTAGTGATTAACTTTTGAAGAATCAGCCACTAAAAATCCTGTGGAGCACAGTTTTGGGTGGGTTTGAACCTCTAATCTTTCAGCTGTTGTTGTTGTTGTTGTTATGTGCCGTCGAGTTGGACCCAACTCATAGCGACCCCTCCTTGGGTTTCTGAGGCAGTATCACTACGGAAGTAGATTACCCCAGCTTCCTTCCGAGGAGTGGCTGGTGGGTTTGAACTGCCAGCCTTCTGGTTAGCAGTCAAGTGCCTTAGCCACTATGCTACCAGAGCTCCCAAAAGATAGTCAAGTTATATTTGATTTCAGTTTCATTTGAGTTTTACCTTCTTTTCTTATTTTTTAGAAATTTGGCACCAAAATTTAATTGTCTTGAGCCAGAAGCAAACACATATAGCAAGTATACTTTGAACTCCAGGTAAGAGAGAACTGTCAAATACATTTTGTTTAAAGATGTGCTTGTTCATTCACCAAAAATTTCTTACGTGTCTTTTGTACATCAGGCTGATTAAATTATGTTTCTACCTGCACGGTTTAATCAGGCCCGTGAATGATCACTGTCTCTTAGAGTAGTAAGTTTGTTTTTGTTGATAGGTGCCATCGAGTTGGTTTTGACTCATAGTGATCTTATGTACAACAAAACAAAACACTCCCGGTCCTGCTCACAATCATTGCTATGTTTGAGTCCATTGTTGTAGTCACTATGTCAATCCATTTCATTGGGGGGGCTTCCTCTTTTCTAAATGGAATATGATAAATGTCAATCTGTGTGATTTCTAAAAAAAGATATGTGGTAGGTGCCCTCTGAGAGTGAGAGAGAGGTTGAAGGGACAGGGCTCTGGACCCTGTACCCTTGCAGGAATCGGAATGACATACTTGAATCTGTTTGCCAGTTTCTAGCTCCATACAAGATTTCATTTAAATAAAGTATTTCTCTGCTGTAGTCATGTGTTTGGCTTTAAATGAAATAATCTTTTTTTAAAAAAAAAGGGAGGCCTATATATAAGGGCATTGAATGCAAATTTAAAAAACAGTAAAGAATCAACAAATACTTATTGAGTGTCTGATATATACCTGGTGCTCTGCTTGGTTTTGGATTTGCAGAAGGAACAAATAGAAATGGCTCCTACTCTTACGGAGTTTTGTAGGGATGATAATATTAAAGAAACAATTATGTGAGTAAATATTTATATACAAACTGTGGTCAGGGCTGTGAAGAAAAAGTGATGGGATGGTGAAAAACTAAAACAAGACCCCTGGATTTTGAGTAAGGGGTCTGGCAAGTCTTCTCTGAGGTTGTACCTGTGGAGAGGCCTGGAGGAAGAGTTTAGGGCAGGAAGCTGGAGAGGTTGGGTGCTAGGTGAAATAAAAAGCAGGTGGGAAAGTTAAGATGGAAAATGTTGCTTGAGTGTTTAAAAGGCAGAGAAGGTTGTGTGCTGGGAGTACAGTGAGCAGAGGGCATAGCACTATGAGGTAAGGCTGGAACCAAGTCTTATGGCACCTTATAGACTATTTAAAGGATTTTGGTTTTTTTGCTAAAAACAAAGACAAACTATTGGAGGGTTTAGACAACAGAGTGATAAGATCAGACTTAGTTTTATCACTTTGATTGCTTTGTGGATCATGGATTGGAGTGGCGGCAGCAGAGCAAGTAGAGTGTCTGATTAGGAAGGTACTGCAGGAGCTGGTAGAAGCTTAGACTGGTGTGAAGGTTTTGGAGATGGGGAAGAGTGGACAGATAGCTGAGAGATGTTTGGAAGTAGAGTTGACAGGGCTTCATGATGGAATGTTGGGCATAAGAAGAAGGGGAAAACTGGGTAGTTATAAACCTAGGCAGACTTGGAACATGTGCTCATTTATCTATTAGAATGCAACATGGCTATTGTTCTGGAAAGTTTTATACTTGTAAGATACTTTACCATGGCTTTTGTACAGCCAGGAGTTGACTGTGACTCCCATAGGTATCTGTTATGTTAGACTTTCCATGGAAAGTGGAAGGGGAAGGCCTTCTATCCTTTTAGTTTAAGAGTTTCTATAACATGGACCCTTCTTATTCAGAAAGGGAGAATCATGTTTGTTATACATTCCATTTGACAAGTGACCTTAAAAGGAAAGGAAGTGGTCATGGTAGGATTTGTCCTCAGAATAACATGTGCTATTTATCTTTTAAGGTTTGTTAAAGATTTTGAAGAAATAGAACCAATTGGCCGAGGTGGATATGGCCATGTTTTCAAAGCAAAACACAAAATTGATAAGAAGACTTATGTTGTTAAACGTGTTAAATATGATAATGAGTAAGTAGTAAATTTTTTTTTCTGAATAAGAAGATATGTTGAACCTACACTGTTCTTTTTATATTTCTCTCTTCTCCATTTTCTTCTAACATTTTTTTCTTTCTAGTCTTCCATAAAAATTTCATTTTACCATCAGGAGCATGACTTACCCTGAAATGACTTCATTGTATCCTGGTTATTTCAGTAGAAAACGGATATACCTTTGGTCATCCTTTTGAGGCTGTTTTAGGAAATAGAAATTATGGAATCATATGGCTGAATGTGACCTTTGAGATTTTTTTAATCTCATCTCATTTTAAGCAATAAGAGATTGAGATCCAAAGATGTGAAGTTATTTGTCTAAGGGAAAAGGAAGTTGGAAATTATTCTGGTTATCTATTGCTGCATAGTACACCAACCAAAAGGTATTTGGTTGTGCCTCAGAAGTTATCATAACTTTGCTCCCTGTTAGCTGTATTATATATATGGACATTTTTAAAGCATATCCAAATATGGGAACAGGTTTGCTGGTCTGATAGAGCCTGGTGGGACCACTGAGACTATGGCCCCTAGTTGCCCTGCAGGTCTAGAATTGAACCCACACCTGTGGCTTCCAGCCAAACAAAAGATAGGCATATGAGTTGATCATTTACCTGAGGTAGGTACACTCCTTGGAGAGAACAATCATGGGAGAAAGAAGGGTTGCTTATGCACAGGGAGACAGCTGGGGAGCAGGAGTGCATGGAAGGATGGACATAGGGAAGAATTAACTATCGGGAGGAAGTGAGAGGGGAGCTGTTGCATTGTGGCAAATTGCAGTCAATGGCATGAGACAAAGTGTATGTGAACTGCTGTATGAAAAGTGAATTTTCTCTGTAAATTTTCACCCAAATCAAAATTTAAAAAAAAAGCATATGCAAATATGAATATAGAAATGTCATCTGCAAAACCTATATATCACCGATCGCCTACCCATACCTAATCTTCTTTCCTGTGTACCTACGTATCTACCTGTAGATTAGTGTTTGCTGCTACTGATAATGCAGCATGTTGTTGTTGTTGTTAAGTGTCGTCGAGTTGTTTCCGACTCATAGCGACCCCATGCACAGCAGAACGAAACACTGCCCGATCCCGTGCCAGCCCCACAATCCCTGCTATACTTGAGCTCATCATTGCAGCCACCGTATCAATCCATCTCGTTGAAGACCTCCCCCTCTTTCGTCGACCCTCCACCCTACCAAGCATGACATCTTTCTCCAGGGAATGGTCCCTTCTTACAACATAATGCAGCATAGTATATGTTAAAACAGATAACAAAGGTATAATATATACCTTCGTTATCTGTATTTCTTGTGCACCTCTCCATGAGTTCCTTTTCCTTAGTGTTATTGTGTTGGTCACTTGCTCTTTAGTATATTGCCTTTCCCTTCACCAAAATCAATCTGTGTCTCTTATCTAGTTAGCAATTTTCCTTCCTCTCCCCTTCCATCCCTGGTAACAACAAAAAAAGTTTCCTTTTTTATATAAACCTTTTCTTGACCTTTTACAACAGTGACCTAATACAATATTTGTCCTTCTATGAATAACTTATTTCACTCAGCATAATGTGCTCCAAGTTCATCCCTATTATGAGGTGTTTCATGGATTCTTCATTATTCTTTAATGTTCCGTAGTATTCCATTGTGTTTATGTACCATAGTTTGATTATCCATTCATCAGGTGATGGGCACTTAGATTGTTTCCATCTCTTTGCTCTTGTGAATATGTTGCATTGAATATGGGTGTGCATGTATCTGTTCATGTTAATAGTAGTGGGATTGCTGAACCAAATGATATTTCTTTTTCCAACTTTTCAAGGAAGAACCGTACCATTTTCCACAGTGGTTATACCATTTTACAGTCCCACCATCAGTTTATGAGAGCTCCAGTATCTCCATACCCTTGTCAACATTTGTTGTTTTCTGTCTTGTTGAACTTTGCTATTATTGCTGAGGTGATATGGTACCTTATTGTTTTGATTTGGATCTCTCTGATGGCTAATGATTGTGAGGGTTTCTTCATCTGCTTGTTGGCTGCTTGAGTATCTTCTTTGGTGAAGTGTCTGTTCATGTCCTTTGTCCATTTTTGAATTAGATTGTTTGTCTTTTTGATGTTGAGGTATTGGAGTTTTCTATAAATTTTAGAGAAAAGTTCCTTTTCAGATATGTCATTGCTATATATTTTTTCCCAATCTGTAGGTTCTCCTTTTACTTTTTTGGAGAAGTCTTTTGATGCACATAATAATTTAATTTTTAAAAGGTTCCAGTTGTCTAGTTTATCTTTAACTGTTGTGCATTTTTGGTTACTTTTGGAAGTCTATTTATGCCACATATTAGGGCCCTAAGTTTGTCTCTATTTTATCTTTGACAAACTTTGTAGTTTTAGGTTTTCCATTTAGATCTTTGATCCATCTGGAGTTAGTTTTTGTGTATGGTGTGAAGTATGCATCTTGTTTCATTTTTCTGCAAATAGATACCCAGTTTTGCCAGCACCATTTGTTAAAGAGACTATCTCTTCTCCATTTAATGGATTTTGGCCCTTTGTCAAAGATCAGTGGTCCACAAGTGGATGGATCTATTTCTGGATTCCCAATTCTGTTCCACTCATCTATGTGTTGGTCATTGTATCAATACCAGGCTGTTTTGACAGCTGTGGCCGTATAGTAGGTTTTGAGATTGGGGAGTGTGAAACCTATTTTGTTTTTCTTTGTCCATAGTGCTTTGGTTATCCAAGGTCTCTTTCCTTTCCATATAAAATTAGTAATCAGCTTTCCATGTCCTTAAAGAATATCAATGGAATCTGGATTGGAATTACATTAAATCTATAGATTGCTTTGGGTAGTACTGACATTTTTACAATGTTCAGTCTTCCTATCTATTAACATGGTATGTTCTTCCATTTACATTGATCTCTTCTAATTTCTTGTAGTAGTCTTTTGTGTCCCTGGTAATATTTATTCGTTAAGTATTTTATCTTTTTGGTGGCTACTGTAAATGGTATTGTTTTTCCTTATTTCTTTTTCAAAAATTTCTTTTTTGATGTAGAAGAATTCAACTGATTTTTGAGTGTGAATCTTGTATCCTGCCACTTTGCTGACTCTTTCAATTAGTTCCAGTAGTTTTCTTGCTAGTCTCTTAGGTTTTCTATGTATAGGATCATATCATCCATATCATCTGCAACTAGAGATAGTTGTATTTTTCTTTGCCAATTTGGAAGCCTTTTATTTCTCTGTCTTAATGCCGTGGCTATAACTTCCAATACAGTGTTGAATCGAAATGGTGATAGACGGCATTGTTGTCTGGTTTCTGTTCACAAGGGGGATGCTTTCAGTCTCTCCCTATTGAGAATAATGTTGGCTGTTGGTTTCGCATATATGCCCTTTATTATGTTGAGGAATTTCCCTTCTATTCCTATTTTGTTACGAGTTTTTATCAGGAATGTGTGTTGGATTTTAGCAGATGCCTTTTCTGCATCAATTGATATGATCATGTGGTTCTTTAATTTATGTGATGGATTACTTTGATTGTTTTTCCAATGTTGAACCATCCTTACATACCTGGTATGAATCCTACTTGGCATGGTGTATTATTTTTTTAAATAGTGTTGTAGTCTATTGGCTAGGACTTTGTTGGGGAATTTTGCATCTATATTTGTGAAGGATATTGATCTGTAATTTTCCATTGTAGTGGTGTCTTTGCCTAGTTTTGTATCAGGATTATGGTTGCTTCATAAAATAAATTTGGGAGCAGTCCATCTCTTTCTGTGTTCTGGAATAGTTTCAATAGGACTGGTGTCAGCTCTTCTCTGAATGTTTGGTAGAATTCTCAAGTGAAGCCATCTGGGCCAGGATATTGTTTTGTTGTTGGTAGTTTTTTTTTTTTTAACAATCTGTTCAGTTTCCTTTTTTGTTACTTGTCTGTTCAAATTATCTACCTCGACCCCAAGGGCACTCGGGACCTGCAAGACTGAAAAGGTACGACATTCTTCTTGTTACTACACTCTATACCTGCTTGGTGAATGGAGGTGTGGCCATCCCCACTCCCACCTACCTTCTGGGCCCACAGGAACTCCATTACAGTCTGTGTGCTCAGACAGAGCCTGGGTGCCCTACCCAGTC